AGAATGACTGTGGTGCAACACTCTTCACGACTGATTTCAACCTGCTACACCCAAGAAATCGCTTGATAACCATTTGGAAAATACACTTGTTTCTTTGTGACTGCCTTTTATATCATGTCCAATATGAAAGGCAGCTATGTTCATATGGCCCCACGTGAGAAACGTCTGTATAACATAATTAGTAGCACAGTGGTTGAATTTTGATGGGGTAGAAATGGAACACGGTAAGCTGTGCACGTTTTAGACATGATGACTGAAATGACTGATATACTACATGCATCTATCTTTTGTATTGGAGACAGATATCTGACAGATGCGGCTGTTAGCATAACTAGCCAGCCTTGTCACTGGTATCTATGCCTGTGACCTATCAGGCCTGTCAGTTAGTGTTGTGTTTGTTGTACAGCACTTCAGAGTCACACTGGTAGCCATCAAAGATTTATGTAAAGTTGACGAGCTGAAAGCATTTTGTACTGTACGGGAGACACGGCATGAGATTGATTGACAATGGTCTATAGCCAATCAAGACGCAGAACACAATGCACTGTGGAAAAAACAAAAAAATAAACACATGCAAAATTGCACCAAAAAAATCAGCGAAACAGCGAAAGGTGAACCGCGTTACAGCGAGGGAGCACTGTAGCTCCAAAGGCCCATCCACAGACGAAGCTGGTACACGGCTTTGCCTTAAAATTAGCAAAAGTTGAACCTACCCCCTTTGCATTACTAATAGTTAATTTGCCTCTCATGGCTGTAAATTACTGAATCAACTCTTCATTTTCTCTGGTGACGACATTGATGCCAATCTCTGTGCACAGGAAATACAGTGGTCATCACTTTTTGCAGTGCAGACAGAAAAAAAGGTTAAAAGGTCTGAAAGTACCTAATGTTTCTTTGTGTTTGTAGCTCAATCACAGGACTCACGTATTTGTGAGTTCGGGTGCTGTAGCACAAAATCTGAAAGTATATATATCACAGGGGTTTGTATGGAAAGGAGCCATGAACCACTAACCACACAAGTAGAAGTCAGGCAGACAGCAGCCTGCGAGAAGAATGATCTTTGATTTCTGCTGCTTTTCAAAGTTACATCAGAGAAACAAAGTGTTATTGGAGGAGACATGCTGACAGGGGGAATCGGGAGCAGCGATGACGCAGGGGAGGAAGCCACTGAGAATGACAAGACTTTGATGCTTTATAACACCAACACTTCAAGTATCTTCCACCTGTCTCAGCCGTCTTTACACACTGACCCGCAATAAAGAAGCCGCTTCTACCTCCAAAGGAAAACGGCAACATTACGATTCGTTCTGTGGGAAAAGGTGAGGCCTCTGAGGTGAGGAGCTCCAACAAGGAATATTTAATCATTAGTCAAAGTCTCCACATTCACAGCAGTCTGTCTCGGGAGGAGAGCCGGTCTTTGTTAGTGTTACCATGGAGCGCTAACAGGACTGGGTGTTCTTTTTAACAAGAATTCAACACATGAGCGGAGGCTCAGAGACTCGCCACACCAATGCTAGAAATATTAATAACATCACACATGACTAGCTTGTTCCACCACATCAATTATCTTTTTTCAAGACGCTGCTTTGTGTTAAAATGAATTTAGATTCTGTGATATTATCTTAAGAGAAAAACAATTTATCATAAATGTTATCAGCATTTCCTAAAAGTTAATGTAGTAACACAACTGCACTAAATGCAATTAGTTTAAGACGATGATTAAATGATTAAATTGCCTGGAAGCCTTTAGAGTTTTTCTTTAATCGGACGGCAATTAGTCAAGCTGAGCAATGCAGAAATTAGGTGTTGTAAGCAGCAGGTGGACTGTGTATTCTTCCACTGCATTAGCCTGGACAGCAAGGTAAACCTGCTCACCTTGATGGTGTGATGGAGGTGTGCTGGTCACAGTCAAGTGCCTGTCACCTGCAGGCTTCTTCAGCTCACGGTGGCTTGACTGGTTTGTCACTTGTAGTTTTTTTAATGTGATGCAGAAGCAGCAGGACATGCTGGATTTGCGTCAGCAGTAACTTAACGCAGCAGTAAGAGAACAGCAAGCTGTCACATTGCCAAAACAAGTTTCACACCAAATTAGAGGAAAACTTCTACATGAAAAACTGGAAATATGAACACCAGGCTTTTTCTACAAATCACTGCACTGACACTGGTGCATAAATACTACATGTGGTTCAAAGAGACAGTCTGTCCCTGGGTCAGGATCACTTTATAATAATAATAATAATGGATTGCATTTATATAGCACTTTTCGGGGCCCTCAAAGCGCTTTACAATGCCACTATTCATTCACTCTCACATTCACACACTGGTGGAGGCAGCTACGGTTGTAGCCACAGCTGCCCTGGGGCAGACTGACAGAAGCGAGGCCACCATATCGCACCATCGGCCCCTCTGGCCATCACCAGTAGGCGGCAGGTGAAGTGTCTTGCCCAAGGACACAACGACCGAGACTGTCCGAGCCGGCAACCTTCCGTTTACAAGACGAACTGCCAACTCTTTGAGCCACAATCGCCCCCGTCTACACTTTAATCAAAAGTAGACGGTTTTGTCCATCTGGAGTAACTTTGTTTCTTCCCCTTCTTCTTTGTGAAATATGTACATAAGACTGAGGCAGGGAAGGCAGCAGCAATACCTCTGTTCAGAACAGAGCACACAGTAAACAGATGTAAGTCAGATATGGTGTAAAAAGGAGGAACTGGGCTGGAGTTGGGTTGCAAAGTGGCTTGCAGATACAGAGGAACTATGGGAAGGCTAAAGCAGTTTAAATAGCAAGCCGTACATAAGATTAGCCAATTCGATTTGTAGCTAAGCCCATCATCCGGTGTGGGATGGCACTGAAATGCTTGGCTTGAGCTCGACTTCTTGGCCTGCATGAACTAACGCAGGCGTTGGTTCCATATTTGCAGCTCTGTTCTGCGACTCTGTTCTGGCACCAAGATTTCCTTTTAGCATCTCGGTTGTAGACTGAGCTTAAATGTGTTAGGACCACACACGGATGCAAACACACAGTTTGGCTGCTCTCATGTAATCATCACTCAGTTTCTGTTGTCATACAACAAATGACAAATATGCGCAAACAGTGATTTGATTGTGTCTCATAAATGTTGATTTTACATCACAGTCAGACAAACCATACACACTGCTGTGACAGATCCCTACTTAAATAATCATTTAAAAATAATCTTTAGTGGTACCAGAGAGCAGCCCCCAGCGCAGACATATAACATTGTTGTAATGGTTTTAGTTTGCACAGTGAATGATTGCTCCTCAAAGACAGACTAATCCACACACACACTCTAAGATTCATTCCTGAACATGTTCTTCAAAGCTCCTGGAAGTGTTAGGCTCTCTGTATTGTGTCTGTTTCTGATGTAGCTTTATTGTTTTATTTCAAACCCTAAACCTTGAAGATAAAGCAAACCCCTACAAATGGAATCAAAACTCCGGCTTCATTTCACGAGTTATAACTAGCTCAGCTGTCCCAAACACATCAAATGACTGTTTATAACTCGGATTTGTTCAGTAAACATTTGTAACTATGGAGGGATATTTCTTTAGTCATAATACCATCAGATATGTCACAACTACCAGGAGATGCATCTGGTCTCTGATTGAGGAATAATTTTGAAAAAGGTAAAACACATGAGAAAATAAAACAAAATAAAACCAAAGTAGAAGCAGTATTAGGATGTCTTTTGTGTGATGATAGTAATTAAGCAGTGACGTTCGTGTCAGTTTATCATATCTTTAGAACTTTAAGTAAGACGATTTGGAACACGTCGTCTCGATGTTCTCAGAAAGTCTCACAATCATGTTTATCCTGCTGAGGGCTGTGGTGACGTCATCAGATAAGATATCTCTTTATAGTCATTGCAGTCATACAGAGTACAATAGTGCAATGAAACTGGAAAACTGTCCGACGTCGGCACTGCGTACGACACAGTAACTTAAATTAAGTATAAAAAGAAGAATAAGTTTATGTGTATTGCACATTATTATTGTTGCACATTATTATAATTATTGCGCCTTGTTGCAAATATAAATATTATTATTGTTATTGTTGTTGCCCCCCAAAAGTCCAGGCAGGTAGCCGATCAGGTCAGCTGTTAGCGCTGATTAGTTACCTGTTGTAAAAGCTGTCCTTGAGTCTGTTTGTCCGGGACCTCAGCAGCGTGAACCTCCTGCCAGACGGCAGCAGCTTAAACCCCGGTGTCCTGGGATTTTTTTTTTGTCCATATTAATGACCCTCTGAAGTGCTCTGTTAAATGCTCTGAATCGATTTGCAGCAACGTGTTAACAGATGCGATAGAAAGTGTGCAGTTTTACCCTCTAATATCCTTTGAAGTTCTGTATCTATATTCACTCTGTGGTTCATGGACAGCGCCATGTAGAATTGTCTTGCTTTGCTTACATTGGTAAGCCTTCTTCTCCAGGTTTTATACATATATACATATATTGCTACATTTCTCATTGTATTTTTTGAAGTTGCTAGTCGAGAACCAGGTCCAGTGCTCATTTAAACATTGCATCATAACTCCACTAGTGGTCCAAACCACCACTGTGTATGGTTAACATGTGAGACCATGACATGAATTTTAAAAATGATCTTCTGAGCTGCACTATTATCCATGCACAACACTTGTTTCAGCCTTTCATGTTGGTGATGTACAGTATTATGGTCACAAGGCTGGTTTATGATTCATGTTTATTCATGCATTCAAAGCAGATTTTTCAAGGTTTCCATCTGTCCGTTCACATCTGCCTGCGCTCTGCCACTACTAATAAGACTGACGGATGTTGCATATTTTCAGGGAAAGGATGGTGCTGGGCTGTTTTTACGGCTGGGTGTGGCTACAGGCATGAAACAGCTTTTGAAAGAGCATGTTGTTATTGCAGGACTTAAAGCAAGTACAGAGATGTTTCTCTGTCAGGGCTCTTCATCTGACTCTGGTTTTGCTCTCTTCCTGCCCTCATCTTTCCCTTAGGCACGCCCAGCTTCATCAAGTCCCCCGAGGATCAAACGGGGATTTCGGGAGGAGTGGCGTCGTTCGTATGCCAGGCGGTCGGTGAGCCCAAGCCTCGCATTACCTGGATGAAAAAGGGAAAGAAAGTCAGCTCCCAGCGCTTTGAGGTACGACGCGTGAGCTCCCTGTCTGAAGTGTTTGAATGTGCAACACCTCCTTGTCTCACACCTTCACTGCTCATTACCTGTCTGCATTTGTGTGATACAGAGCAGCAGGTCACACGCTGTCATTTTATAGAACATATGCAACATGCCGCTCAAGAAGATGTGTGTGCATTTAGCAGGAGAGGCCAAACTGCAGACTGGTGGTGTATTTATTCATTACTACCATGCACAAAAAATCAGACACAGCAGCTTTCTCCATTTAGTGCCTGCTTGAAAACCACTTAATGCAAATTATGTTAGTTGTGTTATTCTAATGAAAACACTTGAGGCTCAGAATTAGAGGAGGAGGTGCAGATTTTGATGTCTGTGGCTTCAATGGTGGAGCAGAACTCTAATAACCTGCTATGGCCAGCACATCAGGTTTATTTAGTGTGTGTGATTTCGCTCAAAAGCATCTCTCACATGTCTCACATGTCTATGTTATGAGTGAAGCTTTTAAAATTTGACATCGTGAAATTAAATTTGAATTGAGTGCATTTCATTTTGTTCAGCAGAACAGCAAACAATTAAAGCTCAAATACCAAAGTTTTATTTCTCACTTTGAAATGCAGGAAAGAGGTTGTAGACTTTGTGAAGGCTGTGTGTGCTGGAAACTGATCTGAAACCAGACAGAAAAACTGTGGAACTAATGATTTCTTTTTTACATTTTTGACTGGAGATCTTCTCATTAAAACATCTGAAAAAGAGGGAAAATGTCCGTCACATTCAGAGGGCCTGTTTTTATTCAAAGCTTAGAGATATCTAAAGCCAAATGAAGACCGCACATGGGCTCAGTAATAAGCATCGTGGCTTCTTAGTGAGAGGGTCCCGAGTTTAAACCACAGACTGTATGTGAAACGTGGACGTTATAGTGGCAGTGTCCATCTTTAATATACAGTCTATGGCTCAAGCATGGCTTTTATGTGTCGAGGTTACGTGTTTACGCCAACGTCTCCAGCCGACTGAAACAGGGCACTGTTTATATCTGCATTACACTTGGAAGCCAGGCGTTAGGCCGGGTCAAATGCAGGAAATAAATGTCCCTGTGGACGGCAATACACTTCCTTTTTATTACAGTTATTACTGAATGAGTTCTGCACATTTTTAGACTTTCTGAATGCGCTCTCTTGCCCTTGAGACGACCTCTGACTCATAGGAGCCCAGAAAAAACACTGACGTACCAACAAAGTTCATATCTGCTGATCTCAACTGGATCATTTGTGTTTCTTTTATTCGTAAAAGGCAAAAAGTGTATTTTCACCTCTCTGTGAACAAACACGACATTTTAATGACAAGTTGAAATACCTTTTGATTAGATATTAAATGTCTTTCTTTATTTGCATAATTCTGAAAAATTCAGTGAACAGAACCCTGATTATCTCGTCTATCAGCATTAGTACTAAAAACAATAATTAAAAAATACATGCATGGTGACATTTTGAATCAGCGTAATTTAGATACATGTGCAAGCTACAAAACGCTGGCAGAAGATAAAATATGCAGAGTTAAAACGTCTCTCTGTAGTTTTTTTAATGTAACTTTAGGCTGTGTGACCTTTAAATACGTTTTGTAATCATGCACTTTTTTTTAAAGTACATGATTACAAGTCATTTCCAGTAAAGGCTCAGTGTCAGGATAGGACCTTTAGGTTTAATGGGTGGAGTTGAGCTTAAATTCCTTAACATTTTTGCAGTGTGTTTGAGGATAGACGGGGTCTGGAAGGCCTTTGCCTATGGGCTGTCTGTGCTCTGTCTGCAGCAGTAATTAGTTGTGCAGTTAAAGCAACATTTACATCCATGGCAGGACAACGCAGCCAACCCGTGCAGCTGAAAAGTGTGTGCTGTGTGGTAGCAACAAAAACCACAATTCTTCTAAATTGCCACTTGAGGCTGGCTTCAAAAGCGCATCAATCTGCACCGACTCCCTTGTTAAAGTATGTTTACAGCCTGCTGCAAAACAGGGACTGATTCTTTCACAACATAAGTGAAGAAAGAAAACTGTCATCAAATAATAAGCAAAGTGTATCCTTCTGTCCTCAGAGGTGAATTAGCACTAGCCCTGCTATAACCTTGATCTTTTGAACATTTGACCTGACTTGAATGCAGATGGAAACGAACTACCAGCAACAGTTGGAGTGAAGCTGCCTAGTTTACATGAATTGATCTGGTACCTTCAAGCTTGAATATGTGCTGCACATAAACAGCGCTAATAAAATGTTGTAGAGGCCCAGAATGACACCTGAATAGTTTTTCATGTCTATTAAAAAAACACCACGAGCTTCATCCGATAGAGTCGATGGTTGGTGGGGAGAGAGGAATGTTGTGTCTTCATTTAACAAGCGAGCTGAGTTACGGCACTGGAAGGATTTGCGTAGCTAATGACCGAGATTGACTTATAGCACTGAACTAATAATATGACCGATTATTTGTGTGATCAAACCTATAAGTCAAGCCAGTCAAACAGGACTGCTGCATACGAGGTAATGCTATGTTTTTCTATTTATTCACAGATTTGTACGTTTGTGATTGATGTGCTTTGTGACAAAATTAAATGAAGTGAACTTTGAAGGATATTTTTTCATCTACTGCAAAATGGCTTCTATACAACGAACAGAAGCACTGAGCAGAAAGTCGACCTTTTATTCATGCAGCTGCATTAACACACACAGCAAAAGCTTAATAAATAGGACTGTACAAGCCTGCCTGCAGGACTCTGCAGCAGCAGGAAGGCTCATTAGCTGCCAGCCAACCCAAATGACTTCAGCTGAAGTGACTCAACATGAGTCCTGCGTAGACGGAGACACTTGGTTCCTGTCGTTGTGAGTAATAGGAATTATCTTCCACCTGTCTGCTCAGCATTATTTAAACTGATGGCGACCCTGTGTGTGGTGTGGATGCACCACCTTCCAGTACAGACAGTCCAGTACTCCCTCGGTACTTTCACTTACGTTGTCTGTTATTCTGTTTTATTTGATTTCTGCAGTTAAAAAGCTTTAATCTTGGTCTATAAATAGCCACAGCCCAACTATTTTAATCCTCATGAAAATATCCTTTCACACAGGGGTCATATTTGCTCACCTACCTGTTTAATGTTTTGTTTTTCATTAGATGCTCCAGATTTGTTCAGACTTTGCTCTTCACATAGTCACAGCACATATATTCATGATACGTTATATATCTATATTTTACAACTTACCTGAATTGTATTGTATCCATTATAGTTTTAGAAATTGAGCATGCAGACCGGTGAGTGTCTTTCACTTCACAATTATAGTAGCCTAGTATCTGGATATGTTAGCTGTAAAGTTCTCTCTTTGGAAGACACAAGATATGTGCACGGTGGGAGAGTCCTGAGCTATCGGCTATTGTACTACAGAACACGTCACAGCACTTATATTTCCACAACCAGACGATGATTCTCTTGAAAAAGGCAACAGCAGCACATACAAAGGTTAAAGATCTAGTTCAGTGATAGCAGCAGCGAGGCATAGCATGTCCTTAAGCCCAGTGTCCACACTGATGAGTTATTAAAGATAAACAATGATTCCTGGACATCTTCGAGTGTTTGTAGGCAGCTTGAAGTAAACAGTACATGAATGCAGGCGTTGACATTTCAACCAGGGCTCGGTTTTGGTTTCAACATGCAGAAAATGTCCTTCGAGGTTTGTAGAGTATCTGAGTTTGTTTCAGCTAACAAAAGCGTTTACATGAGAGCGTGTAAGTGTGCAGCGTTAGATATGAATGGCTAACAGAGAAATGGCAGTGTGATGAAAACAGTAACAGCTGAGAACAGAGCGTCTAATCTGGTTTTCAGGTTAGGTGAGTAAATCCGTCAGTATTCCTGTGATAGACAGAAAGGTTCACTGAGTGATGGGTGAGTTTATAACCTAACTCTCCTTTTGGAACAAGAACAGACAAACCAACACTGTTTTAGAAGAGCCTCAACAGTGGACCGTGTTTTGTTTGTTTGTTTGTTTCTCTGCTGCTGCTTGGCGTTGCTCGGCTCCTTGTTCTAAGGTTGTCTTTCCTGCAGCCTCCATGTGTGTCAAACCCCACTTTCTGTACGCAGGAGCTCTGATCTTATTCGTTTGAAATAATTCTACGTCTGTACAATGGATATATAACTGGCTCGTACCACGCGGAGCAATGGGAATGATTCTCCTTTGGGCTAAGAGTTAAACTGATGGCTTCCCTGTGTGCTCGCTGGATCGACCTCCTACTGAGGCAGGAAGAAAGTGCAGCTCCACACTTCCTTCATTGGGGCAGGAATTTGATTTCTGCCAGTCCACTGCTTGGTCGCACGCATTTCAGAGGGGAGGAAGTGCCGTGACCCTGACTCTTAACCACAGCCCCTCGAACATTTCTAAAGCCCTTACATACCTGATATCCAGTCAAGTCTGTTAGCACATTTGTCCTTCAGCTCATTCCAAGCATTCTTTCTTTTGCTCTTTGAGCTGCTGCACTCTTCATTTTTTTTTATTTCCACCTTATTGTCTAAATGATTTCCCTCATTTCTCACTCTTGTGCTGCTTCCATCAGGAGCTTTGGGGCAAAGTGCTGATCTGGTGCTCCGCTTGCAAACAAAGCAATCAGAATGAAATCTGGCAGCTGCCACTTCAGTTCATCCAAATCTTCCCTAAAATTAGACGCGCTCCATCGACTGTAGTGACACTGAAACCTCGGTTTGGCCGATGCTAATGGGACGCAGAGGGAACGTCCCCATCCAGTGACACCATATCACCTGTGACACACACACACGTATGACTTTGCCAGTTTCAGCTGAAACAATTTCAGTGTTTCAAACCATGTTCCAGAGTTTATAGTTCACCGTTCATGAAGTTTCAAGAAGAAAATGAAAGACAGATCTGAATGTTTGAAAGTGTTTTGGAAAAACTCTGTAAAGATTAGAGGAACAATACTCAAAGGATAAATTCAACTGTTTTATTTTGTTAGATAAGTTGAAAA